CCCCTCCTCCCACCTCAAGCCGCACCTCCATCTCCTACTGACTAACCTCATCCCACCCCCTTGACCTGTCTGTCCTCCCTGGACTGACCTATCCCCTCCCTAACTCCCCACCTACACTCACCTTTACTGGCTCCATCCCCGCCTCTTCGACCTGTTTGTTTCCTCTCCACCTATCCTCTCCTCTATCCATCTTCTATCCGCCCCCCACTCTCTCCCTATTTATTTCAGAACCCCCTTCCCCTCCCCCTTTTCTGATGAAGGGTCTAGGCCCAAAACGTCGGCTTTCCTGCTCCTCTGATGCTGCTTGGCCTGCGGTGTTCATCCAGCTCTACACCTTGTTATCTCAGATTCTCCAGCATCTGCAATTCCTACTATCTCTGACGATATTCTAGTCTGTTTTTCATACAAAGCCGTAGTTGCATTTTTTAAGACAATAAGAAATCAGTCACAAAAATGCACTATACAACTTATTAGACTGGTAACGTGTTTTCACATGTAAGGTACATTGCGATGGCAACACACTAGCTTGTTAGATTGTGTCTCACCATCAAAATGATCACCATTCAGTGTTGCCATACAAAGACTAAATAAAAACTGAAAGAACTGTGGATGCTGTAAATCAGGAACAAAAATAAAAGTTGCTGGAAAAGCTCAGCAAGTCTGGCAGCATCTGTGAAGAAAAATCAGAGTTAATGTTTTAGTTCTGAGGAAGGGTAACCGGACCCGAAACATTAACTGATTTTTCTTCACAGATGCTGCCAGACCTGTTGAGCTTTTCCAGCAACTTCTGTTTCTGTGCCATATAAAGACTGTTTATTTAAAACTATACAATTGAGAGAAAATTTTAAGAAGAGCTTCTATCAGGCACTGTATTTATGCGGCAAGATCTGGACAACATTCAGGTTTGGGTTGATAACTGGCAAGTAACATTTGTGGCACACAAGGCAATGACCATCTCCCACACATGAGAATTTAACCATTGGCCCTTAATATTCAATGGAGTTATCAGCACTGAATCCTCCACAGTCAACATCTTAGGGCTACCATTGAGCAGAAATTAAAGTGGACCAGCCATGAACATATAGTGTTTACAAAAGCAGGTCAGAGGCTGGAAATCCTGAAGTGAATGACTCATCCCCTGTCTCCCTAAAAACACAAAATCCTCGCTAATGTCGCCCCTCGCAATATCATCTCAAGTTAATGGCGCTCTTCAATTAGAACCCTGCATTCACAATCCACTGCTGCTGTTACACATTAACATTGGCAAATGCCTGAATGCTTTTATGTAACTCCAATGTTGTGTCTGAGTGGTGTATCGGTTAATTCTGTTGGATAGACAGCTGGTTTATAATGCAGTGACGCAAACAGAGTGGGTTCAGAGAACATCAGCTGAGGTTACCATGAGACCTCCTTCTCAACCTCTCATGATGATACTATGGGTTTAAGAGGTGTACTTTGTCCTCCTTTTTTTTTGAAGAGAGGTTTTAAGGAAGAGGTGAGGGGCTGCCTATTGAAATCCCATAAAATAAACAGCTTGTGAGGCCTTGGTTTTCTTTTTTAAAGTTGAAGCAATAGAAGCAGCCTGAATGGGTGGGGCAAGCTCCCACAGAACCAGGATTTTAAGTTTGTGTTTCAGTAGTAGCAGCTGCTGGGCCTTGAAGCTGCAGTACATTTCTACTAGTGCTCTGTCTCTCAGAGTTTTCTCCCTGGACTGGAGAATTGCATGTGAGAAATCTATATTTCTGAACTTGGATTTTGCAAAGGGTATATTTATGGGATGTTACTATAGTATATTGGAACAGTTACTGTTTAGTAGTTAATGATCTATTATTCTGTTAAGTTTTCCAATAGTTATTCCAATTTCTGTTGTCGTTGTATTTTAACTATAATGTATGCATAAAGTGTGTTTTGCTTCAAGACTGGTAGTTTGACCAATTGAATTGCATCCGGAATGCAACTCCTAGGACTTGCCTTTTAAAATAAGAAAATATTAGGGTCTAGGCTATCTTAGTATATTTTAAGGGGGTTTGGTCTGGTCCATAACACGGTCATCTCACCTGATTTGAGGTGACCCTCACTTTAAACCACCACTAGTTGTCTCTTTATGATAAGAGAGCAGCCCTATGGTCTTCTGGGACTATAGTGACTTTACTTTCCTGAAGTGAGACCTGGGCTCTGTATCAGTAACACATAAGAGCCCTAGCAAAATTCCACCAGCACCACCTCTGCTGCAATCTCCAAGTTCAATGGGAGGACTGAGCAAATGCTTGTGTCTTAGTTCTTGAAGCTAGGTCTACGAGCAGTCAGGCAAAGTTTCTCATAATCAACTATGATTGACTGGAAAATGCGTGCAGATGGCTGAAATCGTCTCCACTGCTACATCTCAATTCTCAAATGGCCGGTGTTCCAGGAGAGGATAAAGAAAATGCTACACAGACATTCTGGACCTCTCCTTGAAGCATGGCAGCTTTGACATTAATGACTTGCTGCATTACACAATAAGTCCAAATATGATGAGGGAAAGCAGCAGCAGCGGGTAGAGAAATGGAAGCAAATCCTTGAAGCTGGATCCCACTACCTTGTGGGACTCCCTGTTCCACATGCTCAAAAACGTGCAGGTGGAGGATTGGCCTGTTCAAACATGGGAAGATCTATGGCTAGAAATTATGACTCTGAGTAAACATCATCCTCGAGTTGACAGACAGCTTATAATGCTAGTGATCCAGACGGGTGACGGTCAGAAGAGCATTAGTAGGGCTGACTCTGGAGGTTAATAAAGGCATGGACGAGGCATTGAGCAGCAGATGCACTGAGATGATGGTGGATAATGGAATTAGATAACTAGGGGATATGGGATAAATTGTCAAGTAAAAAGCTGACGTAACCAACAGGCTCATTCAATAATGAGTATTGTTCAGCTGGTGTTTGCAGCTTCACCAATGAGGCAGGTACAATGTCTTGTATTTTGACATCTGTCTAATACCACTGTTCCTCATACAAAGTCCTAGTCCCTTCCAGTCACCATCCTAATGCTTACCTCTAACCCAATTCCCATCCCAGCCCAGCCTCAACCCTATTCCCGGCTCCAAAACCAAGCCCACGCCCAGCTCCAACCTTTCCTCTGCAGAGAGGAGGAGCACGTACACGTGACGCGGAGAGATGCACACATGCTCAGAGCCGGCTGCCGGTGTCCCTCAGGTTGACGTTTTGCCGAGCTTCCCCGTGGCTGCTGTCAGACAAAGTCGATAGGAAATCCCGTGCTGCTCGCAAATGGCCGCACCTTTGAAAGTATGCATTATTGGCTCTGGAAATTGGTGAGTTTAATAAGAGGGTTATTGTTGGGAGGTGATGTTTGCCTGTGACTGGCGGTGGGGACTGTCAGCAGGCGGTAATACCAGCAGTGAACCCAGGGTGAAGATTACAATTGTTGCATCGTATGAATTCAGCTTGTTTGGGAATGTTCTTTTTTTTACTTTTTCCACCCCCTGTGTATACTACTGTTTTAAACACACGTTAATGAAGCCCTAGTGTTGCCACTTAGCTGCATGAAGTTCTATATTTGCGAGTTTCGTTATTGCATGCCATACATAGGGAGGAGATATTTTAATGCACTTGCCAACTTTGAACTGATATTTTGACATTTCAAGCGCAGGGTCACTCAGCATAATATTAGCAGTGGTTGATATTTAAATGAAACCCTCATCCACCTCGTCAGGGTTATCTGAGAAGATCTTCTGAATCAGTATATAATATTTAATTTATAGTGTGAGGGTGGCTTTATTTTCTGTAAGCCTGTATACATTTATATGTTCTATTATTACTGATGCATCTTCCAGTGTTTAACATTCTGTGATTTTTAAATAGTGGTATTACAGAGTCTAAGTTTGATTTTCCCCTTTTCAGTAGGGGTTGGATGGTCTTTACAGTGATTAGGATCACCTTGGGAGTGTGAACCTACATTTCATCCTGTTTATATTTGCTAAACGTTCTGACAAGACAATGTTAAATTCTCAAAATTCTTCCTAATCCAGCAATTTAAAAAAAAAACAACTTGTTTCATAATTTTCATGCAGCCTGATGTATCCAGTTTGAGGGCAGAAGAACTGGATTTACTGCGTTACTATTGGAATATGCTCATGGCACTATCCTTTAGGAATGTGTATTAAAATGGTGTGAATATAACAGTGACCTAACACTAATATGTTAGTAACCTAACCACAAGTACAAGCAGCTAGTTTGTCCGAGACCCATCAACGTGAATGCCTGGAATTGTTTTTTAATTACCAAATACATTTGAATGCACTTGACAGTTTGATACAAGATACTAAACTAACAGATCGTTGATCACCAAATATGGATTTTAATAAAATTATTTTGAGAGCTGGGAGTTGCTAGCTAGGTCAGCATTTATGCCCATCTCTAATTGCCCTCAAGTGATGGTGAGCTGCCTTCTTGAAACAGAGGTCCATGTAGTGCTGTTTGGAAAAGAATTCCAGGATTTTGACTGTTTGTTATTCCTCATGTGTTTCCATACAAGCTATCCTAGTGAACGTGTATTTTACAGCTCAGCAGACTTGTACAATACCCTATAGATTTATGGTTCTATCACTGGAATAAGAGAGCCAGACAGATTTCACAGTACAATGTGAAGATTGGGAGCCAGTCAAAAATGCTGAGTTGTCAGAAAAGTTGGTGGTAATTTAAAAGCAGCTTTTTTTCCACCAGTTCAAATGTAATCTGGTAACTTTCTTCTCCCACCCTTGTATTGCGTTTGTGTTTACTCATCGGAATGAAATAAGTATTGAGCAATGAAACATTTAAATCACAGTTGTTGGCTGCAATGCCAAATAAGATAAACACCAACTGAAACTGGTTTGGTTGAATCACCTTAATTTTGTAATTTCTATGTAATGAACATTCTGCCATGGGGCGGCACGGTGGCTCAGTGGTTAGCACTGCTGCATCGCAGCGCCAGGGACCTGGGTTCAATTCCACCCTTGGCCAACTGTATGTGGAGTTTGCACATTCTCCCCGTGTCTGCATAGGTTTCCTCTGAGTGCCCTGGTTTCCTCCCACAGTCCAAAGATGTGTATGTTAGGTGGATTGGTCATGCTAAATTGCCTGTAGTGTTCAGGGATGTGTAGCTTAGGTGGGTTATAGGCAGATGGGTCTGGGTAGGATACTCCAAGGATTGGTGTGGACTTGTTGGGCCGAAGGGCCTGTTTCCACACTGTAGGGGTTCTATAATTTCTATGATCTCTAACTTTCATAGAATCCCTACAGTGTGGAAACAGGTCCTTCGGCCTAACAAGACCACACCGACCCTCAACACATCCCGCCCAGGCCTATTCCCCCTACAACCCACTTAATCTACACATTCCCTTAACCTACACATCTGTGGGCAATTTAGTATGGCCAGTCCACCTACCCTGCACATCTTTGGACTGTGGGAGGAAACCGGAGCACCCGACAGAAACCCACACAGACACAAGGAGAATGTGTAAGCTCCACACACAGTTGCCCGAGGGTGGAATCGAACTTGGGTTCCTGGTGCTGTGAGGCAGCAGTGCTAGCCACTGAGCTACCATACTGCCCATAAATATTACCTCAGTCTCTGGATTAGCAATCCAGTGATAATACCACTAGGCCATTGCAACAATATTATTTGCCACATGAAATTTTCATACAAACAAACCATAAATAACTTGTCAGATCAACCAGTCCACTGAATTCTGTTCTGTTCTACATAAAAGTCAATTGGGATCAGGAGAGAACCAAATGGTAATATTTGTACCATTCTGTGTGCTTAGTATGGTGAACAAAGTACAAATTATGAATATAATGCTAACTAGTTATAGTGTTTGTCAAGGGTACAAACTCAGTTCACTTTGCATATTAGGTATATTACTGAAATAACAGCTCTGATTCCTTTTAACAGTTTATCTAAACAATTGGTGATGCATTTGAGAACTGAGAATTTAATAAAGTTGATTTATTTTAGTTGTGTTACAATGAACTTGTATTTTGTGATATATTACCAATTTGGACAATTATTAAACTTGAAATACTGCCAGCTATTTTCAGCCAGCTATCAAATTAGCCATAGATAATATGCAGACTTTGTGTGTGTGTGTGTGCGCGCACACATGTGAATAAAGTTTTTGTTGACTGTCTTAATTTTATATTGCTTTTCCTTCAAAAAGAAAACATTATTGAGGCAAGTCAGTCTGGTGTGGTTTATTTTTTTAGGTTCCCTACACAAGAATTTGGATATTATCCAGTCTGATTCTAGAAATCCGTGGTTATATTCATAGAATTGTTGTAATGCAAGAGGAGGCCATTTTGCCTACTGTCTGTGCTAGTTTTCTCCATGTCAGAAGTCACATGACACCAGCTTATAGTCCAACAGGTTTATTCGAAATCAGAAGATTTCGTAGCCCTGCCCCTTCATCTGCTGAAATGAAGGAGCAGCGCTTTGAAAGCTTGTGATTTCAAATGAACCTGTTGGACTATAACCTGGTGTCGTGTAACTTCTGACTTTACCCACCCCAGTCCAACACTAGCACCTCCACATCTTGGTTTTCTCTGAGTATCATGCCTTAGTCCCATTCTTCTACCTTTCTCCCACAACCCTGCACATTGTTTCTGTTCATCTCATACTGTCTTGAATCCTTGATTTGACCTGTTTCCACTTGACTTCCAAGCTTTGAATTCCAAACCCTGACTTTAAAACTGCACACGGACACTCACACACTCCATTCCTGATCTTTTTATAAGTGAGAACAGTTGACTGTCTGGACCTCTCATGATTTTGAAAGTTTCTGTCAAACTTCCTTTTGGTATGTTTTCTCTCCAAGCAAAAGGCCCCACCTTCAATCAGTTTTTACAATGGAAATCCTGCAACCACTCAAATCTTTTCTACACTCTCCACTGAATTTATATCCAGACTGTACATGACAGTCCAGCTGAGGTCTAACTTGTGTCTTATTCCTTCCCAAAACTTCAGTGTAAAGCTATTGTTCATCCTCTATGTCAGGTCGAGCAAAAGAGGCAGTTGTGAGTCAAAAGGACATATCCCATTGTTTGCTTCACAGTGATGCCTTACTAAAGGGAGTCACTTGGTAACCGGTTAGAATTACCAAACTGTTACCAGCTGTTTGGTTATTTTAAGGGGTACAACATGTAATTTAACTGTACAATAAAGAGACCCTTGGATAGGATGGAATGCAATGCTAAAAAATAGCTATTTAGTTATGTTGGCTTGCATTTTGAGATAAATGGTGGAAAAAGATGCGTAAGTAGATGCAGCAATGTCTATGGCATGGCTTTCCTTCCTTTTCCAATGTCAGTTTAAATCTGGTGCCAAATCTAGGGGTTGCCTTGATGCACAGCAGGAGTGATATCAGCATGCAAGTAAGGGACTAATAATAGCTCAGTTAGCTGGATAGCTAGTTTGTAATGCAGAGTGGTGCTAACAACGTGGGGTCAATTCCTGCAGCAGCTGAGGTTACCATGAAGACCTTCTCGGCCTTTTCCCTTGCCTGAGGTACGGTGACCCTCATTTTATACCATCACCACAAGTCTCTTTCTAATAAGGAAGGACCCCTATTGTCTAGTAAAACTATGATGATTTTATCTTTACCTTTTAGTATTCACAGGCACAAAAACAAGAAGATAAAAACTATTTATTCTTTACTTTTAAACTATCATATAACAAAACAAATGATATAATTGGATTAAGGTTGAAGCTAAAGCAAACATAAACTTAAGGAAAGATTTTTTGAAATATGTGAATTTCTTTACCATTATGGCAAAATATGTCATGACCCCTAAAACAGCAATTTTACATTTGTACATTGTGTGTTTAGCAGAAATTAAGTGGTTCTTGCGCAGTGTAAAAACTCAGTTACACCTCATTAACTAACTCTAACATTTTGAAGAATTTTTACATTGACACTAACTGCTCAAGGTGTTACAATCCTCTAGAGACAATAAGAAAGATTTGAATTCCCAGTGTCACATTTTTAAAAATTGCTCAAGATCTCCACGTTTTTAAGGCTTTTACTTGAACAAAGAAACTAAAATCAACATCAAGTAAATGACGGCTGCTAATATATTAAATTACAAAAAAGATATCACTTGTTCATTTCCAAACACAGCCAATAACAACTCACAAAGTTCATACATTATACTGCAGAATGTTGCCTTTTTATTTTAAGTACTGTCCGGTGTTTCTAATTATTCTTTCCTCCAACAATGTTGAAAGTCTTGAAAAGTACTTCTCTTCACTTAATTCTAGTAGCAAAGCACTCAT